TTTGGTGTAACTCAGAAACCAAATCCTTCTTTCCTCCCCAAAAATATAGCTAGGTTTTGAAAAATAGATCTGGCTGCAAAAGGGACTAACCATCCTGCAGGAAATTCCAAGTGTTCAAGGTTTTATTACATTCCAAATTGGAACACCTTAAACCTCAGAACTTAATGAGAATGGGAATATTCTGGTTTGGGAACGCACTAATGCAGCCAGGCCTCTCCATCTACCAACATAACTCATGGGGAAAGGGACACAGCCAGCTGCCAGCGGGCGGGGAGGACGGAAATCTGGATCCAGACTCGCAAAGGAAAAGCCTTATTTGGAGCCGGGAGGACGCCCAGGGTAGCTGAGGGATTCAGGAAAGCCAGGGAGCCTGCAGCCTGAAGGGGCACAGGATCTGGAGGGCTGTGGTGCCCAGCCTCCCTGCCAGACAAGCTGCTAAGGGTCTGCAAAGCTCTGAGGCACTGGAGGCCACAGCAAGCTTTTCGTCCGGGCGCAGGGCCCCCTGGCAGGAGTCACATCCCGCCTGGCAGGCCGCGCGGGACAGAGGCGCGCAGCAGAATTCAGTCAGGATCCTCCCATTCTTCAGAGGTCCGAACTTCCCAACAGAAATCCCCTTAGAACATCTACTGACAAGCTTCTAGCTCTGAAGGAAAAAGACAGCCCTCTATTAAAACATAGAGTCATCAAATGGTTGCTGTCTGGCAGGAGTTACTCTCAAGTTTCAGATAGCACTCAGTTCTTGGGCTAAGGACGTCACCCAGAAGTTAATACAAATTAGTAACTAAGTACTGGCAGTATTAAACTAAAAAGTCAAACAAAACTGTGGTCCAAATGTTAGAGACATCATAAAGCAGTGCTGATGCTTCTTGTTGCTTTGAGATCTTAGTTTTATATTACTGGCAACCTGAAGTGTTCCAAGATCTTGAGCTGGGCTCTCCAAAAAAAATTTTGACTAAAAATCAGAACAGTTTAAAAAACAACATTTGGCCTGCATTTTGTTTGCCTTCTAATTTTGGAACTTGTAGTGCTCATGGTTTCAGATTTTGCCTGGAAATATGAGTGCTGGAAGTTTACATTTTGAAGAAATAAAAGCTGGCATTTTTGTTATCACATGACTCCAAGAGCTGGGGCTTGAGGGAAAAACATAAAACATTGTCAGGCTTTCCACAAAACTGTGAGATTAGCAGCATGGATTTTATCACAATTTAGGCTGCAGAGTTGACCTATTTTATTAACAGTGGCCTACAGAATGTGAATTGCTTTATGAATTTTAACAATCATATTTCATTTTAAATATAGTTCAATTAAAGTGACATTTTTCACTGAGCTTCAAAGCAAACTATTCAGTCATCAACTTGGGCTAGACTTTTTCTCCGACCAAGTGGAAAGTGTAAGCTGCACCACCCCACAAAACTTTGCATCTCAGAGACACCCTTCAAGGCAGAACACCACACATGCTTACTGCCTGTCCTGGGGACTAGCTCAGGGTCATGAAAAAGGATTCTACCTGACGTGACAGCTACAGAGCCCCAGACATTGCCATGTTCTAGAACAAGGACACCAGGAAGTAGATTGTGGCCTCACAAAAAATGAGGAGGCCACCATGAGAGCTCCCCTGAGGCCCTGAAGGACAAAACTAGATTTAGTCCAAGAACATGCTGAGCTGTATTTGGTGTCTGCATGCCCTTTGCTCAGCCCGTTCTACAGCTGCAGATCACTACACAGCTGCTCTGAAACACAACCTGAGATCGCTGGGGCTGCTGATGCGTAAGAGTTTACAGAACACACACTCCAGTTTTGTTTCTGGTAAAATAGCAAGACTGAAGTGTGAAGGGGAGAAGACCCCAAATACTCAGCAGGAAGAAACTGTTAAAGCGAAAACCTTTTCAATACACATACACACGAAGATTAAATAGAACAGAAAGCAGTGTGCATGGGAGGATGCATTTCAAAGTGGCATAAAATAAGTTGGGGGGAGGCTTAGTTAATTTTTCAGAGAAACTCAAACCTCTTCACAAATCAGGTCTAGAACATCCTGAAAAGCAGAAAAAAAAAAAAAAAAATTATGAACATTTGCCAAAACACAAAATCCTGTCTAGATGACATAGTACAGCATTCTGAGGTCATACAGATTCTTTAATTTAATCTAATCTGCAACTTTTCTCCAGTTTAGCATTATCTCTTTGCTCAAATCTCTATATGAAGACAAGCTGTTTGTCTTCTGCAGCAGTGACACCTCCTTCCAGTTAATTCAGAAGACATGGACTTGGAAAAGACATAATGTCAATTAGAGACTCATGTGCCAGGTACATTTTTCTAAGCTCAAGTAGCTAACACATATTTCTTCAGCATCACAGAAATGGCTAGTTTAATTGAGATATAGTTATACCCAGCATTTGCAGTCCTCTAAGGAGGAGAGACACATTGCCGTCTCTCTCTGCTTATATACCGTGTACGGATTGGTGATTGTATGCTGGGGTAAGGAGAGGGAACTGTTTCCAAGTTAGCACACTTAGAGAAAGGAGTCATAAATCACGGGGTCAGTCAGGTTGTGCTTTTTTTTAACCTTAGGGTATTATGTTTTCAATACAATATTTCAATAGCTTTTTTCTGTGTAATAATTTATCTGGAATTATGGCAACTCTTACAAGCTTAGAAAAAATTGGCTCAAGTAAAACGAATCCTTTGTCATAAATAGGTTGTGTTCATAACTGCAGCCTAATCATTCAATTGCACATAAGTCAAATAGTTATCCAGACTTTGTAGGAATATTTCCCTGTCAATAAATCTAGTGCTATTTAAAAACTCCGGGCCAATGTGACAGAAGCCTGTTAGATTAATTAGGGCAAGGTCAGAAAAGCTGAACTCACAGCTACATTCATGTCACAGTTTCATTCCATCTACCATAACCTGATTGTAAACTCACAGACCGTTTTAAACATAGGCATGTTAGGGTGACTTTATTGTCTTCATTTATATACAAAGGAAGATTTCTACAGGAATTGTTTCTTCTCTCTTACAGTCAGCTAAGCATGCAATTGAAAAGAAACGTTTTGCTTTGTATTCACTACCAATAAGGATTTTAAAAATTTTAAATGTTTTTTCCTATTAGTGACTTCACAGTAATGGGACTGCAACCAGGGCTCATGAGACTTCAGGACCTTATAGACTGCGGAACTGTCAAGAAGCAGGCAGTATCATCAATATTGCTCTACAGACAGATCATCTCTGTGGCAATGAGAGGACAGTATTGTGTCTCTGCCTGTTCAATTCTTGAGCTTTATCATGTGACCATCCAAAAGGAGGGTGCCCCAAATCTGATGGGTTTTGTGTGAAGTGGACCCTGGAGGTGAAATTCTGACCTCGGCTGGGTCAATATTTCATCCATAATCCCTTGAGACAGACCTCCAAATCATTTCCTAGGCTTGCAGCTTGTATCAGATGGTAGCTAACTGACTTTCATTTACTACTGACTCAGGTCAAACTTGGACCAGGGATCAAAAGATGAAAGGCTCTGTATCTCATTATCAATAATCAGTGTTCTCCACTACCCTAAAAACGACATACTTCATTCTTATCTACAAGGCCTTAAGACTTAAAAGGGTTGGGGTCAAATTATGTTACTTCAATTTATTTTTATTCACTGCTTATAAAATAACTTCCTCTCTCACTGTCATAGCTAAATGCTAAAAATGTAAATGCTTCTCTTGCTATTGTAGAGGTTCTACTATTGTTTTTCTTTCAAAGTCTTATTAAAGATACAGCAATAAAGAAAAATCCCTCCCACATACAAATTTAAAGAAGAAAAAAAAAAATACAGAGGTCAAGGCCAAGCCAGACCTTACAAATCTCAAAATTATTTTCAGCAAAGCACTTCTTGTATAGAAGTTGCCTTATAACAAGAGGGGTGGACCTTCCCCAGAAGTTTTTCATAGTTATACAAGTCTTGATACTGACAGAATATCATCTGAAATGATAGAGCCAGGGTTTTTTTCTAGTGTGAAGCCATAGAACTCCTCTGATTTTGCTGAAATTAAGTTTTCTTAGACAAATTACGGATATGGCCCACAATTTTAGGCAACTAATTGTGAAACATTATAGAGAAGCTTTGGAAGGAAAATCCTGTTGTTACTGAACAAACAGAAAATAGTATCCACTTCCACAGCGACTTGCAATGCTCTGTACATAACTGCATACTTAAACAGCCAGAGATTTTCCTGGGATTCTACATCTCTGAAAAATGTCAAACCCCTCCTTTGTTATTCTGTGAAAACCTTCATGGCAAACTGATTTGCATTATTCCCAAAACAGGGGCATGCATATATACACATGGAAGAGAAGTAATGAAATACAGTCAATGGCATGAAAAGAAACTTCTGAATCCTTTGAGAAAAAAAAGACATTAAATAAAGTTTACTGGTTATGCTGGGTTAACAACTTTTTTCTACTACTAGGGTGTAAACCTGTAGATACCTAGGACCCGCATAACTGCTCTCCCAAATCTAACTGATCATTTGAGCAGTTTCTCATTCAGATGATATTTCATCTGAAGTATTGAAAATTAGACTTTCAACACCTAGGGCAGAGGGAAGGAGGTACACTTGATTACTGATCGCTGAAGAGATCTGCTTCCACAAAACCTCAAAACCAGAGTTGTAGACGACCCATTCCAATCCAACTCTTTCTGGCGGCACTTCTGCCACTCCTGTTCTACAGCTGAAAGAAGATTTGGTCCTGCAGACCCTTGCTCACATGACCAGCTCCTCTCATATCTGCTTCCCGATCCTATAGGAGCCGTATTAATCATACAAGGCCTTCCAGAAACTGATCTTTTTTGCTTAATGACAGGTAACACCCTCATGTGTTTCCATAAACAATATGTAAGCCATCTGCAGATATTCTTGAAGAAACTATGACAATAACAGCTGAGGGAAAGCGTGGGGAAACAGAAAGGAGAAAAGAGACATAACAGAGGCATGAGTGGAGACGCAGTCTCTGACCTGGATCTGTTGCTGAAGAAGGTTAATTTTGTGTTGCTGCTGCAGGAGCTGCTGCTGTTGTCTTGCAATCTGTGGAGAAAGTGCACAGAAGAAACGTGAGATATGTATCACCATTCCTGGAGCTGGTACATAGGAAACTTTCACCCTGCTTCGTTCTTTAAACTGCTCTATCAATCTAAGAAACCTTCAAGTGCAGGTGGCAGCAGCTTGGACTGCCTCTGAAGCAAGGGGCTCATGTTCAGCTGCAATTCCTAGTTAATGCTAGTGTGAAAGGGAATGTTATGGAAAATGTGCTGTATATCAAGAGAAAGACTGATGCAGAAATCTCCTCTCTCACTGTCTGAAATGGTACTGCTAAAATCCCCCAAAAGTTAGCACTCATTTACTCCAACTTGCTGGAGGAAGAACAATACTGGCAGAGAAACTGGAAAATAGCAGAGAAGGCAGGAAAGGCAAAAAAGTAGGATGGACAGTAACAGTCTTTTTATGTTTGGCACCACCTATTCAAAAATTCCCAAAAGAGGAAACCTGACACCCAGGAGGAAGGTATTAGTGTGAGTATTTCCTTGATGCAGAAACAGACACAGATACACTGGAACTGGGTTTGGGAAAATCACTGACTCTTCAATGTGTGTATCAGCTGAAAGGAACTAAGGGGGCAGTGCAAGGCTACACAGCTCAACATTGAAACTGATTTATAGAAGCTGATAGAGTCATCATAAGTCACCTCTCAAAGTTTTCCATAAGGACTTCCATCCTCCCTCTCCATTGACTAAATGATTGGGAACCTTACTGCAGACGCATTTTACGTACAGTGAAGGCAAAAGCAGACAGTAACAGAACCACATTAGAGTTCTCAGAGGACCGATGGAACCATTATATACCTCAAACTTAAAAAGCAAACTTGAAAAACTTTCCTTTGAGTCATCACAAAAGCTCTGCTCTCATGAATAGCTAGCACAGCAGTACAAACATTAGAAGGAGCGTTGCTCTTCCCCTGTGGTATGTGTACACATCTCAGGGTCAGATGGGAACTTACACATACTTACTGGCAGGAATTTGTGCATTCTTCCCCTTAGGTATTTTCTTTCACTTCTATTATTAAACTATTAGCATAAGAAATACTCACTCATAGTTATCTCCATATCTAAAAGATTGTTTTCTTTCCAGAGCCTCTCTTTAAACAACCAAAATAATTTTTATCAATACACTTTTTAAGAAAAGTTTGGTTATTTTAATTTCTATATAGCACAGAATTATACACAAATTCTTAAATTAAAAGAAATCCTAGTTATCCTAATAATAATCCTGCAGGATGTCTTACTGCTTTTTTCCATTCTCTCAATTTTCTTTTTCACCTTCAGATCATTCAGCCATCCCATAGCAGTAGTGACTTTAAAAGGTAAATTGCTGCTGCAGGATGTCTCCTCGTGGAAGAATCTTGCCAAATCCACCTTCACCTTCATCTACCTTCTCCACATAAACAACAGTGTGACACAAATTCTCTAGTTTAATAGATAAGTCACTTCTCCTGTACTCCCTATGTGGGATTTCAGGTGTGAGGCCAAAATACACAATATTTAAGATAAGTTTTTTAAATAGTCAAAAATAGGTAAAACCAAGGCTAAAATGTCTGAAGGTGTCAGCAGTGGTTTAGAAACTTAAGACTTGATTGGTCCAATACAAACACTGAAGTATGACAACTATGACAGATTTCAAAGAATTTTTTGAGTTTCATAAAATTCACGTGGCTGCACTTCTATTATATAAACTCCAATTTCATTACAAGCTGAAATAAATGCTCAGGCAGACCAAAATGCTTACAGATAAAAAGCATCAGTATGGAATCCTGAGAAGATTTTAAACCGGATGTCTAAGTATTCTCTGCTCACGTTCAGGTACAAAAACGGACATGCACTTCTGTTGAAACTTTCATGGTGCAAATTTGTTAGAAAAGTTATGTTCTTGTATAAAATGTCATGTGTCCATGCACGCACATTGGAACTGTTCACATGTGAAAACATGTTTGCATTTTCAGTGGAGGGCATCTTTGCAAGAGCTGAAAATCAAGCCTCTGAAGTGCAGAAGAGAAAAGTCACACTTGTTCACTGACTTTATATTATTCTCCCCCACTTTTTTCCACAGTTGGCAAAACCAACCTTTTCATTTCTCACATTGCAATCCAAGTGCTGTATTTTGTTCCTTTTATACCTATTCAGCATCACTGAATTCAAGCAGCACTGAAAGATTATTCAGGAGGGCTGAATTTGCATGCTTATTTATACTTATTTAAACAAAACAAAACACACTACTGGAAGAGAATACCTCCAAAATGGAAGATGTAGTCTGTAAGACAAAGAGCACTGGTATATATTTTGCAAATTAAAGCATTCTTCCAATCTATTTTTGCTTAAACTTCTCCACCTAAGAAAACAAATGGGAAAAAAAAAAATTTGGGTGGAGAGCAAACTTGAGAGTATGAACCCTAAAAGATAAACTAATGGAAAGTCCTCCTAGAAATTATTTAAACTGAAAGACACTGTAACAATCACTCACCTGTTCTTGTTGCTGCTTAGCCAGCTCCATTTGTTGGCGTTGTTTCTCGATCTGTGATGCAGCCAGTTTCTTCTGTTCATCATGAGCTGCTAGCAGCTGTTCTCGCAAACTGGTCAGCTGATTGATCATACCCATGAGCTGCCTTTCTTTCTCAGCGAGGCTTTCTGGAGTCCCTGGGCATCATATGGTGGAAAAAAAAACAAAACAAAACAAAACAAAAAAATGGTAAAGAGAAGAGAGGAAATTTAGAGCTAGACAGATTTTTATTTCTGCAACTTCACTGTAAGCAAAGTTTTAATGGAACCACAGAGCTGCAGCATATTGCAATATATTTGACATTAAGACCTGTCCCTCTACAGGAAAATGAGTCATAGAAGATAATTCTGTACACAGGCTTTGATCTGGTGTCTCCCTTCAATGCTTCCTTGCCCTTTCATCCATTCTCCATTGCCTTTTTATCAGATTAATAGGGGGGAAAAATATTGCCTGTTTTGGAAGTCTTTAAAATTTTAAACATTGTTTACATTTTGTGGGGATCAAAATCAACACTTCCAGTTTTGAATGACAATTACGTTTTTTGTCAGAAACTGATGACAAAGACACCCAATGCTGCCTTGATGCCTACAGAAACTGTCGGGTGTGTATTAACATCCTTCTATAACCAAGGGGAAGCAGAGAAGTCTCCTGGGTGCTGGATAGCTCTCTAGCTCCCCATGCCCAGCCTCCTCACTGTTACCAGCACAGCACACAACAGCTGTCAGGATGCTACCTGTTTTATCATCTACAGCTGCCCTGATTAGGATGAAATTATAGAGTATTTAAATTGCCAATAACTACTATTGCTGCTGCTGCCACTGATGAGTATCTTTAAAGGAAAAAGTCTTGCATAAACATATCAAAAACTGAGTTAAATGCAACTCACCATCTCCCTCATTTGTACTGTGTTTAGATGTTTTATAGGAGAGTTCAGCAGACACAGACAGAGGAACTGACTACCTTGTTCTCATAATCATTCTGTAAAAATTCTCCTTCTACCCAGAAGGACAGTGGTTATAAGGGAAGGGAAGAATAAATTCCAAGAAAAATCAAAAGGTATGAATCATACACTAAAATCAAAAATGGCACTATTAGTCTATCCAGGATCATTTGACTTTGAATTCATAAGACCAGAAAACATGGGTAGCAGCTAATCCACAGATATCTCCAATACCACCCCACCCTCTCACATGAGTCAGATCCTATGAAACCCTTTCTCAAAAAACCTTTAGGAAAGGATTAAGGCTATCAGTGCCTATGCCTCCTCTGAAAATAGCCTGCTTTTGGGACAACCCTGCCACACAAACCTTTCTCAAACACAGGAAGCGTTCTTCTGCCAATGTCACCAGTGCTCTCCAAGTGAAAAAAAATGAAGAAAAATTGGCGACTATACTAAACACACTCCTAGCCAACTATCAGTCAGACATGGAAAAGAGCTACTGGTAATAGCTCATTTAGTCTACCCCCCTGCCAGTACAGAAATGTTCCCTACAATATATTTACTACAGCTTTCTAGATTAGATTGAAATGTCTGAAATGGTGAATCATCTACTGCTTTCTTTGGAAGACTGTACCACAGCCTTAGAGGTGTCACTGTTAGGGGTCTTTGCTTGATAGTTTAATTTACATTCACTTAATTTCAACCTTGCGCTCCCAAGCAGCATCCCATTTCCTATGTCAGCCAAGTCCAAGACCTTAAATGCATTTATAGACAGCCATATATAAGTGGAAAAACACAAAGCATCAACATTTCCATATAAAGGAAACGTAACTCGATTAATTTTTTATTAAGATGCTAGAGATTTATGTGAAAATACTCTCATCATATAACAAAGAGCTACAGCAGAATATTCTCAGATATAGTCTCCAAAAAAAGAGTGGTACAAGCTGGAAACTCGAGAAACACACTGAAACAGAAACCACAGGACTTAAAACCTGTTCCGTTAAAAGCTGTGAGAAAGAACGAGGCCAGTGCTAAAATACTAACACTGCTGAAGAAAACACTTTTGACTTATGATTTCAAACATTGGAAACAAGAGAACTGCTACAAGTAATACATTTGCCACCTGGACATTCAGAAATATCTCTTGCTGCTCTTCCATCCTTCATTTGTTTTTTTCCTAGGAAAAAGGGTGCAGTGTTTCCAAGTGACATGGAAGAATTATTCTAGAACGCGGCCTCTTACCTGTCCTACTTGCGGCCAGCTTGTCAGTTTAATGCTGTAAAGTAATATAAACTGTAATGCTCATCTAATAAAGACTATCAGTGTACTGATACTGGCAGTGTAACACACTGGACACACTGAAACATCTGAAAACTCAATATTTAAATTACTCACTCTGCAGATATTTTATTACAAACTTGGTTGATGTGCACAAGAGGGAGGGGGAGAAAGACCTAGAGAGAGAAGGAATACAGAGGATGGGCTTAGTCCTAAAGCTAGGGTAAGCAGAAAGAAATCACTGTCAAATAAGCTTGACAAATACACTGACACACATCAAAGATCTTCAGCCAGAAATGGTTCATCAGTGTATCTGGAGCTCCTACAGTAGCTTTCAGTTGGGAATCAAAAAGCACTTTGTGAAGTTAAATTAATCCCCCACCACACCTTTGAAAGGTGGAAAAATGTTTCCATATGTGTAAACTGACAGACAGAGGGGTCACAGAGTTAGTTACTGACAGTAGCAGAAAAAAGAAATACTGATACCCAGCCCAGTGCTCCAGAGCTCAGGCTGCGCTTCCCCAGAGAGAGCAAAACGCTCCACGTGCCACTGCCCTGACTGCGACACGGAACAACCGCGGGGCCGTCTCGTCTTTAATCTGATTTACCTAGAGAGGAGAAAAAAACCTTCCTCCCCGGGAAAACAACATCTGTATTTCAATGGCAGCAACAAGACGACACTTTGGATGAACCAAGAGCAAGCGGCCAGGGCAATGAAGTGCCGGTGCAGACACTGGAGTGGCAGGCACACCATGGCCGTGCAGCTGGGGACAAATCCACCAAACTCAGTCTCTTCATTATTACTCAGCTTTTAAAGAAACTCTGAGATGTCCAAAGGGGGTGCGTTATGTACTAACTTAGTAAGTAAAATACATAATTCCTTTGGCTTGCAAACTGGTGTGGAAGTAGTCTGAAAAAAGGCAGCCTTCTTGCATTATACTTCTCAAGCAATTTCAGTTTGCTAATAAACTGAAAGGGAGAATTTATCACTGTCAACTTTAAAAAAAAATATCTTTTGTTGGAGAATACTTTCTGGAAAACGTGACTTAGTAGGCACTTTATCTTCATGCAATTAGCTTGCTCTTCCAATAACTTCAATAATACTTAATTATAATTTTGATTCTTTACAATATCATTCTATGTGAAGTGAGTACACGGATAGCCATACTCTCAAGTGATCTGCACAAAACCAGAGGCACAAGAGATCAGATGTGTGGGTCTAGTGGGAGAGGGTGAGTTTTGGGGTAGATTTCCCCTTGCCTTACCCACCCATCTATATAAGCCCCACTGCCGATGAATCACAGATAGTTTTGAGGTTTGTTGCAGAAAACTGGTGGCTTCTGTAAGTGTGAAAAGTGTAAAAAGAAGAAAAGTACTTGAATCACACTGTCTTGATCATAATTTAAAGTGTTTGCATTTAGATTAAGTTCACTATTTTTTATGTTAACCTTATTACCTAGCACTCCTTTCTATAATTTCTTTCCTGAAAACAGCCAACAAAACTGTCAATTCACAGTCGCCATTCATAAACTACTTTGTTTGCATAACAAATGAAGGCCAAACTATACTTAATGTTGTTTATTTAATGGTGAGCTGAGGGAAACAGCTTGGTCACTGCATAAGTACATACACTGAGTGATAGGAATTTTTTCTGTTGTATTAAAACACACTGCAGAGTTAGAGCACCAGTTGTCATTTTAGTATCCCTTTCTAAATGCTGTAGATTGTGGGTAGGCAAGGATGGTGGACCTGTGTCCTATCATCACTACTTTTTCTCTGTTAACCCGCATGAGATCTAAACCTTTATCATTGTGTGAAGTGTCTTGGCAGCTAAAGGATTTCCATTTTAAGAATTCTGTAGCTTACGGGGCAAAACGTGTCAGTATTTTAAGTAACTACAACACCAACTGCATAAAGACAGTTGCTTAAATTATGCTACTCGGGAATTAATGACCTATCCCCGCGGCTGCTAACACTGCTAGAACTCGGGAGGCGGTGCAAACCTCAGTGAGGATAAGCCACCAGCCCTAGCAGCTACCTTCACCTGCTCTGTTATTAAACTCAGAGTTGCTCCAAGTAGCACAGGGTCAGGAACGGTTCTGGAGCTGGCCTGTACTCTACACACACTATGCACAGTTGCAGCGCTTCCACTCTAGCCATGCAGCGTGGCTGGGAGAAAAAACAAGTGCCCATTATGGCAGTGTGCAACCTGACAGCAAGCTAGACCACTTCACACAGGTATTGAGTGCGGAGTAAGTGGAGAGAGGCTCGCATCAATGGCTGCCTCAAAAATTACTCTTAATTACCATCAGATCCACAACAAATAGATATTGCACATTTTGTGTTTAGCAAAGCTTTTAACCACCAGGCCACCTGCCTTTCAGGAGATTGATGTAGGTGCTTGTACTGTTCTCTCTGTACTCTATCACTGCAATGGCAAAATGCGGATTTTTCACAACTTATCAAAACAACTCAGGAAAGAGAGCATCAGAGTATGCACTACGGGTTGATACAACGAATGGCCCAAGAAAAGATGCTTTCCAGATGTGTCAGCTTATTCTCTACTACCACAAAAAGAGATTCAGAAAGAAAAAAAAAAAAAAAAGTTTGTGGATGCAACACCCACAGCAGATGGCAGTAAAAGAAGACTCAAATTAGTGGCATTCTGTATCGCCAAACCTAAACTTCATCTCAGATCAACACTATCCATAATAGTGTTTAAGTAGTAAAAGAAATTTACTCATATGTGAAATAAACTATTACACATTCTTAGTTCTGATTCACAGTCTCAGACTGGCAGTGACAGTAACATTTTAATAAACATTAGAATGAAGACACCAATATGACCAAATGACACACTTAAAGTGAGAAAACGAACAGGAGAAACCTTGGCATATCCACCCAAAACAGAACCAA